CCTGTTTATTTAACTTATATGCAGAGTACATCATGAGAAACGCTGGGCTGGAGGAAGCACAAGCTGGAATCAAGATTGCCAAGAGAAATATCAATAACCGCAGATATGCAGATGACACCACCTTTATGGCAGAAAGCAAAGAGGAACTAAAGAGCCTCTTGATCAAAGTGAAGAGGAAAGTGAAAAAGCTGGCTTAAAACTCAACACTCAAAAAATGAAGATCCTGGCATCTGGTTCCATCACTTCATGACAAATAGATGGGGAAACAATGGAAACAGTGAGAGACTTTATTTTGGGGGACTCCAAAATCACTGCAGATGGTGACTGCAGCCATGAAATTAAAAGATGCTTGCTCCTTGGAAGAGAAACTATGACCAACCTAGACAGCATATTAAAAAGCAGAGACATTGCTTTGCCGATAAAGGTCTGTCTAGTCAAAGCTATGGTTTTTCCAGTAGTTATGTATGGATGTGAGAGTTGGACCATAAATAAAGCTGAGCACTCAAGAATTGATGATTTTGAACTGTGATGTTGGAAAAGACTCTTGAGAGTCCCCTGGACAACAAGGAGATCAAACCAGTCCATCCTAAAGGAAACCAGTCCTGAATATTCATTGGAAGGACTGATGCTAAAGATGAAGCTCCTATACTTTGGCCCCCTGATGGAAAGAACTGACTCACTGGAAAAGACCCTGATTCTGGGAAAGATTGAAAGCAGGAGGGGAAGGTAACGACACAGGCTGAGATGGCTGGATGGCATCACCGACTCGGTGGACATGAGCTTGAGCAAGCTCTGGGAGTTGGTGATGGACAGGGAGGCCTGGCATGCTGCGGTCCATGGGGTCACAAAGAGTCAGACACGACTGAGCAACTGAACTAATTGAACTGAACTGAAAGAGTCCTCTGCATATGGATGCATATGAATTAGGAATCTTGAAAGTCATGCAAACTGCCAATCCCGTTCAAGAGATGAATAGACTTAAGGAGTCTTCATACTTTGCTCTTAGAAGAAGAAATCAAGGAAAGGATGAAAACATTTCTTCTAATGGAAATCCCACCATGGGGAGAGGAGCGTATGTGGAAAGCAATAACTATAACATGAAACTCCAAACTGAACTAAATATGCCAAAGAATTGAAAGACATTAGAAGAACATCTTGAAATATATTTTTTTAATTAACTAAGAGCAGAAATGAACAAAAACAGGAAAGAATTCAGTAAGAGCTAATTGTTCTCAGGAAAGAAATTGACTCTCAGACTTTACCAATAAAGGAAAATTCATCAGGGTCTCCAGGCAAATGATCAAATTACTTTCAAGGGTGAGAACAAGCTGGCATCAAACTTCCAAAGGCAAAATACAAGTCAAGACAAACAGAAATATACTTGTAGCAGGAGCGATGCACACACCCTGTCAGTAAAGGTCGGCCTGAGGACTCACTGTGGGTGAGGAGTAAGTGAAAGTGTGAATCACTCAGTCGTGTCTGACTCGTTGCGACCCCGTTGAACCTGGGTCAAAACACCAGAGTTCAAAATCATCAGTCATCAGTTGCAGGCAGATTCCTTACCATCTGAGCCACCAGGGAAGCCCCAGTTTTTATTAACTCCTTGTTTTAAACCACAGACTGCGTTTTCCCCTTTCTCTTTCTGTGCAGTAACTTCCGTGCCAGGTCTCGTGGAGGACACTTGGTGGGAGCCCTGGTCTCCGTCATCGCCCTCTGAATTGTCCCCGTCCGCCTTCCTGTACTGAAGCCCTCGTACTGGACTTGATGTACTTGGCCACGCCTCTGGGGCCTTCCAGGGGGTGAAAGTGAAGTGGGGTAGGGCTGGGCCCCTTAGAAGAGGGCAGGATCCCAGAGACCTGCCCCCACGTGTGCAGAGAAGAGGGTGTGACGGGAACGCTGCCATCCACAAGCCGTCATGGGGGCCCCCGCCAGGCACCAGCCTCTTAGCACCCTGACCTCAGACTTCCGGCCTGCTTCTGTACCCCCGTTGCTTCTGTACCGCGTTCAGCGGCTTCTGTGTTATGGCAGCCCAAGCAGACATCCTAGAACCTTCTATCCGCGGAGGTCCAGCTGAGGCAGACGGCCCTGCTCCCCCGAGCTCTGGCCAGACAGGTCTGGGTGGAAGGCCAGGCACTCCCCAGGCACCTTGCATGCGTTGGAGCGCAGCCTCCGAACATCCCCCTGTTCGTCTTTCTGGACCCATCTTAGACAGGCCCGCCCCTCGAGGGTGGGCCTTACTCCTGCAGGCTTTCTGGTGGCCCGGTGGGGTCAGCAGGGTCTCTCTTCTCTGCCGGATGGGCCTCACCAGTCCCTCAGCTG